GTGGCTTCTAACAATACGGCATGTATTCAAGATGACTGACTTATGCAAATTTTATACATTCCTAGCTTATTATTATTATTATTATTATTATTATTATTATTGTTGTTGTTGTTGTTCTCAGCACTAACCTTCCATTTTGCGATTACGTGATAATTGGCAATTAACAGCGCATCACAGAGAGATCCCCTTAGCATTCGTTTCGTTCGTCGCGAGCTAAATTCTGCCCGAGAGCCAGCCAGGCTCCGGGGGCTCTCGACCGCAACGTGGTCGATTACGTTTTCGAGTTCCGTCGGAGCACGTGGCCGCCTTAAAGCCGATGGAGCGGCTGGACCTCGTCCCCTTAACGGCCTTTCTTTGTTGCGGAAGTCGCGCGAAAGACTTTTCGTAACTTTTTCGAGAGGAAGTGACGAGAGTCGCGGAGCTTGTACTTTTTGTGAACGCATCGCAGGCAACTACTACTTCCGACCGACCGAAGTATAATTTCTTTGGAAGACTTCCAAAAGAAAATAACCACGAATTGGTTGCATCGGAAAGTAGATTTATGCCTTGTTTCGAGGCACTCTGGAGCGCATTAAAACTTCGACAAAAATGTGCGAGACCGTAACTTTATCTTAGAAAATTAGCCATTCTTTTCAGATCCAAGAATTAGATTTATGAATGTTGTGTTTTATTCTTATTATTAAATTTGTAATATATTATTAGTTTTCACACTCATTGCAAAAGAAAACTTTTATGTATCAGTTATATTTGGAATGCATTCCCCATGAGTTACTCTGTTCATAATTAACAGTTAACAGACAGATGCTTTTCGAAATGTACAAATGCATGCCAAGATCTGCTTACTAAGTTAAAAAAACTGGCAGAGGGTATGCAAATGTTCGGAAAGATAAAGATTTACGTAAGACTTCGACCATTGCACTTCCGACTACGCACTGCGCCTGCCATTTTTTCTCACCACCTTGGGTTTGAATTTCTTTTCTACTGCCTAAATCATGAAGTCACTTTGGATGCTTCTTACTCTCAAATGACTTGACATGCCTCGAAGGAGAATTTTGCTTATTTAGAGTTGACGGTCTGACATGTGTGGTTTCCGAAGTCGAAATTCATTGGAAAGACGCACAAGTGGTACATTTTCTTTATCTTTTATTCTATAGCAATTTATTGTGTTGTTTCAAGATCGTTACTACATTAAAATTTTACATATACTTTTAAATATGTATTTCGAAATTTTATTATAAAATTAATACCTTCTTTTGAATTTTGTGATCAAAAGGTGTATTTGATTTCAAATTTGTTCATTAATTATAATTAAAAATGAATTAATAGATGAGATTGTGAGGTTCGGTAAAATACAACCGTGAGAAAATAAAGAGAAAGTAATATAATCACCGGGTGATGCTTCTATACCAAGAAAACTACGTAAATTACTATTAGGCCACGTAACTGTTTGTCGTAGTACACACGAAGTCTCTTAATTACGGCTCACCTCGGTCGATTTAATTTCTCATTGAAAGAAAAAATGATTTGAGAATATTTATTCATAAAAGTTTCGAAATATCCGGAACAAAGATGTTCAAGAAAAACATGTTTTATACATATGAAATTTTATACACTTACATAAACGACTTATGAAAACAAATCCTAAGCATATTGCTATATCTTCCTAGGGCTGTATGAGTATGGGGCTATTTTATGACATATGATTACAGAAACGTGATTCATTCTCAGGCAGGAACAAGAAAATATTTTTGTGCATCTTTATGGAAAAATGTTAAAAAGACAAATTCTTTAAATTGCATATATTCTGCTAGATGTTAAAGCCCACAATTTAGTAATAATTCAAGTAAAAGTGTACATGCAATAATATGGTACTTTACTTAATAAAGAATTTGAATTTTTTAATAAATTATCGTTAGAAATGAACAACTGTGATGTAATTAAGGAAGTTGAAAGAAAACATATAAAATAAATAAAAATAGAAAATTAGATCAATAGTTAATACAGTCTTCCTATAGATGTAAAAATGCACGTGTACACGTATTTAATGTAAAAAATATTCGAGAAGGCTAAATAAAACAAACCTACCTACCTTACTTAACCACCTACCTACCTGAAATAATTATAGACGTCATTGCCAACAATATTGTTAGCAATGACAACGTCTATAATTATTTAATGAAAAATGCCAACGATATCACACCACAACACCTATACACCTACCTACCTGCCTAACGTACATACCCACCTACCTATCTACCTACCTCACACACTTATCTACCCACCCAAACCCCACGTACCTACCTACTTACCTATCTATCTAACTCTATATGACTATTGTCATTAAATTTAATTTCACAATTTAATTGCTTACTTTTTAAGAAATAGTGCTTCACTTGCATACCACGTAAACAGAAATGATAGACATAGGAGAATGTTGATAGTGCGATTATGAAGATTCAAAGAACATAGTGATTTATCTTTTGCTATTTGTCTCTTTTGCGTCGTAGACCTCGGCGCCTACAATTAAATAGAGCAAGACGTAGAGCGTTGATTCACTTTAACGACAATCTGTGACTTCATTTAACATCCCATTGAGTGACTAACTGTGGAATGATAATTAATTCTTTAAGGAATCGATACAGCCCCAACGTTTTTCCGGCCCAAAGAAACAATTTTTCACTGACACTTTGGAAACTTACTGACTGACAAATAAAACTTCGATTTATTCATGTAGATTGAAGACGATGCTATTTATCTTTCAAGTACTTTCCCTTTCCCGTGTTTTGATCGCGTCGACTGTCCCGTTGGCGTTGCGCGTTATTGATGTGCCACTGATCTACTGGAAGGAAAAGGGAAAGACGCTTGAAGCTTTAGCTAACACACCGACCAAAGACAAATGAACTTGTCATTTCAATGTCTTATGGATTTGCTATTTCACACAAAGTTTTCTTGCTGCAAAGACCACTTTTTTCTCAGACACATCGGAGAAATTTAAAAAAAAAATTGATTTCAGAAGGTTCAAAGTGATTGATTTTTTGTTCAAATCTTATTTCTTGTTTAGCTTTGATCAGAGCACGTGCGCTCCGCCATGTTCAATGTCTGGAAGTACATTAAGTTAATGTGCTATTTGCCTTTGAACAGTGGAGGTTCAGTAGAGTGAAGAAATTTACATTAATCATGCAGTTTGTACGGCCTTGAAGAAAACTCAAGACATGTCCGAAACGATGGTAATTTACAACTTCCATATTCGAATTATGTAAAATTGTATTTTTCCAACTTCTCCATTACGTCCACCTGAGAATATAATATCGTGAAAAAGGCCATGAATTCTTAGTATTATGCAAAATCATTCTATTGACGTATTTGAAAAATTGATATAATTATATAATTAATAAGGTACATGTGTTGTCTCGACATTTTACAGTTTAAACACTTGCACCATATTCGATTGCGTATTGATGTCAGTGAAAATTCGATGTCAGCAAGATTTTATTAATTAAAAAGAAGCGCTTCGCAGGTCAACTGTGATTCAAGCGAGCTCGATTCTTCCTTGGGCCACTTGCTCCGTCGCGGGCGCACTCACCTTCATGTAGGCGAAGGCGCGGCTCTCCTTGGGGTGGGCGCGGCGGCGGCGGCCGCGGGCGGCGTCGGGGGCGGCGTCGGGGGCGGGGGGCGGCCCGTCGAACCAGCGCCGCAGCCCCAGAGGCCCCTGCAACACCATCAGCGCCGCCCAGCTCAGCACGCGGCCGGCGCCACTCAGCGGCCGGCGGTCGATAGCCTCCCCCCGTGTAGTTGCACCTGCCGTTCGCGCCCAGCTGCAGCCGGAGGGGAAGGAATTGGGAATGAGGTGGACTCTCGACGAGGATATGTGCGTGTGTGACTTAGTGAGATATGAAGGATGGGAGAAGGGAGGAGAATGGAAGGAAGGAAGGATAGGAACAAAGAAAGTTGCAAGGGAAGAAGGGTAAAGAAAGAAAGAAATATGGAAAAAATGAAAGGATTAATGGACAAACAATCTGATGGGGATATTAAGAGTTGAAGAGAAAGGATGTCAGGGAGCGATGAGACAAAGGAAAATTGAGACGCAGAGGGAGAGGTACAGGGAGAGGGTGAGAGAGAGAGAGAGAGGAAAAGAAATGGAAGGGGAGAGGGGAAGACTAGAAAGAGTTGGAGAGTACGGAGTGGAAAGGAAAAAAGGAGACGATAATTCAAAAAGAAAAAAGGAGTAATATGGCGGAAAGGTCTATTACAAGCAATAAAACAGACACAGAAATGAGAAAAATATCGAAGGAGATCTAATGACAAATTAAGAAAGAAGCACAGAGTAAATAAAAAAAACAAACTGAAGAGGAAAAGCTGAATAAGAGGAAGGACAGAAAAAGTGAAAAGACATAAAAAAGGAAAGGCGGGAAAAGGAGTAAAGAGTGTGGTTGAAATAAGGTCTATAAAGCTGGACGATATGAAATGAGTATTGGTTACTGATGAGCGGTGAGTTGTGCACACATGACGCTTTCTTTTCTCTAAAAAGTTGACTCCAGCAAAGAGTATTGATGACGGCCACATTCTTTAATCCGAAGCGTAGACATCTAATAATACAATTTATTTGCTTGCAATGAAGCCTAGTTAGTTGAAAATTGTACAGATTATGTACACAAATTTAATTTGTATTCCTCATGTTCAGGATGTTAATGCGTTTCGAAATAAAATTAAACAAGGAAAACAAAATTTGAAGATCGGTGGTTGAATATTTTATGACGAAAACTGCCAGGCTGTCAGCAGCTGTGGACGTACGGCGAAAGAACACATATTATGAAATTGAAATCTGACAGTTGCGTTGCGCGATGACGTGTGCGGCGACGCGAGCGGACTTCTCACGTGATTGGGCTCGGCTGTCACCAAGTCACGCTGTTAGATTTTGTGAAGGATCCAGAAATATTCTTCTGATGCCCTTTCCCTTCATACGGTTATACATTCGTCAAAATCCATCCTATCCCTTATGATTATGAAGCAGGGTTTTGGATTGATAGAAAATGTTTCAGACAAAATGCTTCAGTGGGTTGACAAGTGTGAATAGTGTTTTCAACGCAGAGCATCATATTGTACAAGACATTCGAATTGTTTTTTCGATATTTAAGTACAATGATCTAGTCAAGTACGTATGCAATAATAATTTCATGGTAGTATTCATAAGTAAGTGGTAATAATGAATAAAACATTTGTTAATCATTTTTTGTTGACCTTTCTATTCACCAATTTTTTTCCAAAATTGTTTAGAAGCTCTTTATTTAAACAAGCAATTTGAAAAATTATAATTATTTCTATATATCGACGTTTCTGTACATAAAATATTATCGAAGGAACTGTCAGATTTCGATATATGGAGTTCCGGCTATTTATTTATTTAAGATTACTCCCAAAACATAAGTAACACCATTCTTATTACACTTGGTGCTAACTCTTGATGCGCGCGAAACTGCCCCAGACGCCAAGGCTCCTCCCCCTAAATTACAGCGGAGACAGAAGACGAGCGGCCGCGCGATGAAAGAAGGCGCGCGGGGGCTGTAAATCCGGAGCTCTGAACTCTAATTCGCTCCCCCGCGCCGCCTGAATTATGCAGCGCGCGTGCGCGGCCGTTACATCGCGCAGATCGGAGAGCGGGCGCGACGACGCTCGGCAGTTCGGACGCTAACTAGCGGGCCGGCTCGGGTTGCCATCACGAACAAACACCGCACGCAACGCACGCTCGCTTCTTGCAAATGGAACCTCCAGCCTCGATAGATTCTCGGCAACGCGAACACCTACTACGCGAACATCGACAACACGAATATCAACAACGCGAACATCAACAACGCGAACATCTACAACGCGAACATCTACAACGCGAACATCTACAACGCGAACATCAATAACCTATCTTTTATTACAACTCTTAATAACAAATGGAGGTGCTGACTCTGAAAATCGTGGGACTGAGAAAGAGTACTAGTAACGCAAAAGCGTAAACAGTTTTATTGCAGTACACGTACTCTTAACAAAATATTAGTTACTTTTATTGATGGATAAATCACATTCGTCAACCATGCATCCCATGTCTTTCTATTAAAGAATAAAAATTTCACATTACTCCCAAATGCATCCATGATACAATCCTCGATCCCTTTCCTTAAAGCCTGAGCAAATTAAAAAAAAATAGTTTCCTGAATGTTGATATGTGAGTTATAAATATATTTAATATTATTCAGTGCAAGTAACTATGTCGTCTATGTAATTAAGTATCATTATTATTATTATTATTATTATTATTATTATTATTATTATTATTATTATTATTATTATTATCGTTATTATTCTCATCATCACTATTATTATTATCATTGTTATTATTATTATTAATTATGTGCAATGCAGTGGCGTTGTGAAACTGAGGGAAACGAGTGTGTAAGAAAAACATTACAGCTCGGTGTTTCGCAGTGCGATGAAGTGATATGTGGTGAAGTGGAGTGCTATGAAAGATTGCACGGTGAAATGTTCACGTTAACTTGTAAAGTTTGTAAATTTTGTAGAGTTGTTAAGTTCTGTAATGTTAAGTTAGTGTACTCTGCCACCAAGTTTTTAAACTTAATTGCAGAATTAATAACAAATATAAAGAAATTATCATGTATGCTGTAGTACGAGACAGTAACATTATCTCTGTGCAAACGGATCATATCATAATAAGACATATTCTAAAACAAGATTTTATCGTTGAACTGTAAGTTCATGAAGTCTGTTTCATCATGATTAAAATGAATCAATTTTAAAAAACAGTGTGAAACCAAAATATTAAATAATTCACGGCACGCCCAAAATTAATTTTTCCATCTCAAGAACACGAAATTAAGCGAAATCCACGTTAAATAATACGACATTGAAAAGGAGAGCAAATTTTGTAAACGCAACGAGAATCTCAAATTCTTTATGAATTTCTATTACAATCCAATTCAGGAGCAACATTGCAATATGTCTGTAGCTCTTGAGAAAAATTTCTGCTAGTGTTTAAAAGTGTAATTTGAAAAAGAAAAGTAGAGTTCAATTACATGAGACAATCAAGAGCAATTAACAATATGAAGTAGAATTAAAACTTTGGTTGACATCTACATTTTGAATATTTTTAATTTATAAATTTATTGAATTAAAAGTAATATTTTCCGAATATATTTATCTAAGTAGACTAAATACTAGAAATGAATGACAATTAAAGTCCACGGGAGTCTTTTATAAATCAGTTTCTTTCGTTTATTTTTTAGGTTTGTGAAATGAAAAATGCACCATTTATTCTGATTCCATTACAAGGAAGTACAAGTATTTATAATTGTTTAAATTCATTAGAATGAATGTTTGACGATAACCAAGGCGTACTTCAGCGCAGCAGGCGTCGGCAACGGGAGAAGTCTGCTGGGAGAATAAATACTTCGCGAAAAGTTGCACTTGGTATGAAAGCCAATAACCTATAACCCACGAGTAAAATATTGCTGCACAGAGAGCGAGAAGAATTTGGAAGCAGGAAACTCCTTCTTGCGAAAGTAGATTGAGCATGCGCTGCAGAACTTTACTTGGAAACTAGAGTTTTACGAACTGAAGAGCGAACAGCGGAAGTTACTGTTCCGAAAAAACTGATGAAAGTAAAAAGGAAACTCAAATCTCCGCGTCAGTAGCTTTAAGGCAGTTTAACCTTATTTCACATTTATTACACGAAATTAAAGCTAAATTATGAACTACCTAATATTTCCCAGTGAAACTATGCAAGTAAGGCAAAATCTCTAGTAGCTACCAATTGGCGGCTCATTTAGTGTCAATCAGAAAAACGCGTGTAGTATTGGAAATTCCCATTATTCCTTCTCCAATTAAAATTATTCATAATAATTATCTGCTAATTATGTGAACATGAATCTGACAGCTGACACGTCCAATCAACGCAAATAAGATATGAAAAATTACCCTACACAGTTTTTCGTTAATTTGGAGTTCAGTATGTATAAAGAGCGAATGATTTTATGTCCAGGATTCAAACGTCAGAATAATTAACACGAAAAGTAGAGTATACGTAGTTTTAATCGAAAAGTCTGTTTTATTGCAGAGCTTAAATGAAAGCCATGCTAAGTGCTAAAAACGTGAAAATTTGCATTTTGTGCTGAAACGCGTCGAAGTGTCGAGCGCAATGCGGTGTGAAACGGGCTCACTGAAATTCTCATTCTTAGGAGTTCATATTGTCGGCTCTAGACAGCGCATTAGTGAAAGCCAACCAGCTTTTGAAACAGTTTTTCTTAATTACCTCAGAATTAAACTTTTGGCACTTAGCACTTATTGCAATTGAAATGTACGATTTTTTCATCTAATAAATCATACAAAATATTTAATCAAAAGAGTTTTGGAAGAAGCGTATTATTCAGCGGTACGATGGTGTAAAGCTATTATGGTAGACGCTATTTTCCAAAGTCGTTTTTCCCAAATAACCGAGCGAGAGTGCAAATGAGCAAGTAAACAAATGAGCGAGTGAGCAAATGAGCGAGTGAACAAATGAGCGAGGGAGCAAATGAGCGAGCGAGGGAGTGAGCGAGGGATAAAGAGAACGGGTGGGTGAGTGAGTGCGTGAATGGATGAGCTCGAGGGCCAGTGACAGAGTGAGTGGGGGGGGGGGTACGCACCGTGGGGCGCTGCCAGAGCGGGGCGGCGGCGGCGCTGCGGCGCGGCAGGTCGAGGAAGATGGCGAGGCGCGAGCGGTTGCGCGGGTCGGCGTCCAGGTCCACGTCGAAGAGCGGCGCGCCGTTCACCTGCAGCAGCCGCGCCACCAGCGCCGTCAGGTCGGGCGGCGGCGCGCCCGGCGGCAGGTACCCGCCCAGCTCGTCCAGCAGCGCCAGCACTGCAACCACACGCCATGCAGCACCCTTCAATTACACTCCATAAGTGCTAAAGCTGGGCACATGCCGATAAACAGTGAATGACAAACTCGCATTGTATTTAAGGGCCAGAAGATAGCCGTCCAGCAGCGTCAGCACTGAACGCACACAGCAACGCAGCACCGTTAGAAGCACTCTACAAGATCAAAAGTTCAACAACTTTCGAAAAAGAATTAACGACCAACCCGTTATGAAACGCGGGAAAGCCGATAGGCGCCCAACTAGTTCAGTATCACCAGTACTGCAAGAAAACACTAACGCAGCACCATTCTACTCTGGTTTTAACACGAGTTGCACTCTACAAAAGGTAAAGTTCGGTAACTTTTCAAGAAGAATAAACGACAAAGTCGCTTGAATACCATGGGCAAGTAAGTAGAGTGACACTTCAAGGTCACGAGCTAGACGGATAGGGGGACACGATCATCCAATCGGCAGCTTCGTTTCGACTACAATTTTTGGCGTTGGAACTCCCGATTGGCTGACAATTTTCCCCTCTTCTTTCAACTTGTGATCTTGAAGACCCACTCTTTAAATTGGAGTAGAGTTGTTTTCTACAAATGCTAAAGCTCGACAACTATCGAAAAAATATTAACGAAGATATCGCGTTATGTATTGTGGGGAAGGAGGTATTCACCCAGTTCGACCAGCACCGCCGAAACAGGAAGCACACTTCTACGCACGGCCGTTTCATGTACTGTACAACTGCTAGAGCACAATAACTTCTGATATATAATGAAACACACATAAGCGGAACGGCAATTGAGGGCAACCAATCGCAACTAAACTTGGCATCAGTATGCGATGGGTCACGGTGACCCAGCAACGTTAAATATGCTCTTGTAACTCTGAACTTTATACGAGTAGTAATAACCAGCCCAAACTCATGTTCAAGCCTCCGTAGACAGAGAAAAGAAATCATGTGGCTAACACGGCAATTTGCATGATGTGAATTAGTAGTTTGAAATTGCTTAACACATCCTGCCTCGAATTGCCAAACACCCCCAGCCCGTACGAGCAACAACTATTTTAGCCAGATCGCCATTAGTTAGCATCACTCAACACCAAATACTCCATAAATATCGGCCACGACATTTTAGCGAGCTTGAAATTTATCGCTTGAAATTAGACAATGGTAAGCCACACACACAAAAAAAAGTTACAGACTTCGGTGACCGGCTACGTAGTGTAATAAAAATAGTAATGTATTCACTATCACCAAATGCAATAAATGTTCGCTTTATGTTCCTCGCCTGATTTACAGAATCCTTTGAACTTTCAATTGTACTTCCTGTTAAAATTTACGTGAGCTGGCGTACCATTACCTCATCCCAAGCGCCTGAACCACACGCTGCCTCCACGAGGAATGTACCCTGGCCATGAAAAGGGAGCAAGCATGAGCTGAACCTGCGCGTGCTGGGAATGAGTGGAGAGCTCGCTGCATCGCGTCTATTCGTTCGTCGCGTCCTCCTCTGCCGCGTGACAGGAAGGCGGGGTGGGGCTGGGTGGCGTAGAGGCGGCGCGGGGGCGCGGGGGCCGGCGCGGGGGGCGGGGAGCAGCAATCGATAGAGTGATCCAATAGACGCGAGAGGAGTGACAGCACGCGTGACCGGCCCCTTCCGGGTGCATTGCGCGGGTGATGCGGGTGACGCGAATTAGCGGAATGGGCTCAGGCCCCGCGTCCGACGCGACGCGCTCGTGTTTTATCGTCTGCCGCCCCACGTGACGGCCGACACGCTCTCGCGCTCGCATCTTGCAGAGGTTGGGAGGTCGTTGAGACGTGCGATGTCTCTAGCACTGCTATGCTCACATTTGGAAATAATTTAATTGTACATGCTCTGTCTTGTTCTGAGCGTCGATTGTTCATTTGTGAGTTGTATCATAGTGCCCTACATCAATATATTGGCCATCAGAAAGATAATAGGAAACGTTAGTGATTTTGAGGGTCTTTATTGTGTTTACGAGAGTAGCAATACATAAAGTTTGAAGAATATTTACATTTTTAACTAAATAGTTCGTAAGTTCTATGAACTTTGAGGTCGTTATTAGATAACTCCTGTTTACTTAAAGCCTCACTGAGAATAAAATCGGAACATAGAAAAGAAAATAATATATCAGCAAATTTAGGAACATGCATATGTATTTTGATTTTAGAATTCATTATGATAAATTAGTTTATGTGTGGTGATATATTTTCGCACTGGACGATACAGTGGACTTCGGAATAAACTGAACTTTGGAGGTGATAACTTGGCATCTGAGCGGACGTTGAAGCGTAGGGATGTAGTTATCTTCTTTATACTGTACATTCGGTGTGGGTACTGTATGTGCTTATAAATAACTTACAGTGCAACGGGTTGTCCAAGCCAAGAGTATCAAAGAAGTCGCTGTTTCGAAAAAAAAATGAATTGTGCGGATTGCTGGTAATCATTCTCATGAAACCTTTCTGTGCATGACGTTAGCTGTGTCTAGACGAAATAAGGAAGACAATCCAGTCGATACGAGAAATATGGTAAAAGTATAATACATATGGAAATATGGTAAAAGCGCAAAAACGCACAATAAAATATCTGTATTTTCAGCCTAAGCGAAACTATTTCTATTTTTTAACACAAACAATAGGCACTTCTTACATGATCATAGGCTTCACAGTAGCCATTCAATTTCTGCAAGCATTGTAAAATAGTAATATATTTTTAAACGCAATACTAACTGGCAAATACTAGTGGTGTTGGTGGCAAATTGCATCAAAATATGAATTCATAATCTACCTCACTTTAAAGAAAAAATTGTCGTCCAGAGAAATGTTTTGTAGCTTTCAGATCAGACACATGCTCGCGGACCTGCACGCATAATACCTGTGCACGTGATAGCAAAGGCAGACACAGTGGAAAAGAAAAAAAAGTCCTCCTCAAACGTCAGTGAACTATTCCATCCATTGCCTCGATAATCCTTTCCCTCTAACATCGTACATTTTCTCTAATAGAATTCGCATCCATTGAGAATTACGTTGCTCATAAAACGAGAAGTTATTAGGGCATGTAATTTAACGGGGTTATCGCCACCGAACAAAGCGTCCCTTTAGACGCGCGCGGCATTCCTAATCAAGTGCTTGTCACAGGATACCGCACTAATGACAGCGCCCACGATGCCATAACAGCATTTGTGTGACAGCGAGAACCCTTAACGGGAACTTCCAACGCCACGGGGCCGGGCTGGGTCTATTAATTCGTGCGAGCGGCCTTTACATCATTGGGCTTTGGTAGCACGCAGCGTCAGTTACCCATTCAACGGCGCCGCATCTATCACCTCTTCGCCCCCTTCCCCCCCCCCCGTCGTCTATTTCGGAACAAAGGGCGAGGTGGCCAGACGAGCGATAGCGCCCGCGCCACTAGTTGCATTGTGCCCCGCGCGCGGCGCCCTCCGGTACTGGACGGGTGAAGGCCGGTCGAGGCGGAAACGGGTCCAAGGGATTAATAAAATGAAAGGGGGGGGCTGAATCCAGAAGAAAATGAAGGAAGATCGCGGGATTCAGATGAAGAAGAAGAAGCCAAACATTCAGGTGTTACTCTCTAATGATTATATATTTTTTTTATTTCCATTTTCGTTATCTTGTTGCACAGGGGCAAAAGCTTTATATTTCAATTTAAGTACATTGATACCATCATATAATATATTTAGACACTAGTAATATTACAGAATTGCAAATAATTTCTCGTAATAGTTTTTTTCTAAGTCTTGGATAGGTTACCAGTTCTCCTCCACCCTCTTCCCAGCTTTATCAGCGCCTAAAATATATGTTTTCACTTTTCCTCAATTTTTTGGTCACCAAATAGTGAAATTGAAATGTGACTTTAAGAATACAAGTATTACAGAAGAGTAAAATCTGGTTCTATGGGATACTTAACATTATATGAAATACAACATTGAAAAACAGATTGAGTTAATTTTGAGATTCATAATTGAAGGAATAATACATTTTTGAAAAAAACTTCACGTTTTCATTTCGCAACTCGACAGGATCAAAGAAATTCCTTGGACACATGCCATTTAATTAAACAAGTTTCATGTAAATGATTCATACAGAGTCAATCAAAAAAGTGTCATGTATGACTCATGATGAAAAATTGTTTCCATTATCACAACGTGTAATGATAAAAAACAATGCAAACTGTTTAAAATTATTTTTAAAAAGTGCCTAACTGACTATAAAATCGAAACAAATATAACGATTGTTTGGTCACAATATAGATTTTTTTGTTGCAGTAGTCATTTTTGCTATTTTATCTATTTCTATCGTGATTATTATTGATTAATATGATTACTGAATAATGTTTTACTATTTGTAAGATACCACTTAACTCAATAAGATATGAGACTCAAAGAATTTTTTATTACTTTCCAACAGGAATTACTGACGTAGTTTCGGTTAGCTGGAACCAGATAATTAATCCCTGTAGGAAAGTATAAAAGTTTCTTGAGCCGTATCTTATTAATTTCAATTCAAAATAACTTAAAACAAGTAATAATATCTGTCATCATATTCATGCACTTTTCAGTAGAATGTTAGAAAATAGCAAAAATAACGATTGTTGCAATCGGTTATAATTATTACTGAATTTCAATGCTAGAAAGCTAGAAATTGGAAAAAAACACTGCTGCTTGAGGCCAGGAGAGAGGTCTCTATGAGTTTGTTAGATACTCAGAAACTATTACATTAACATATTTATTATTTTTACGTTTTTGATGGTAGTACGATATTTCTGTATAGAAAAATTTCTATAATTTGGGGAATATGAGTTTCTTTTAATGACGAAAGAAGTACAATGCGACGAAGTTAATGCTTTACATTTGCATTATAAATATCAAATAAACCAAAACGTTCTTCTCGGACCACTATGCATACGATCTTGTGTACAGGTTTTATTTACTTCGTCATGAGACTAGATTTCATTTTCAAAATATG